TAATAAACTTCTAATTTCTACTCTGAAAAAAAAAAAAATCTTAAAACAGTCTTAAAGCAGAATATGTAAAGAACTTCAATAAAACTAACCCAAAATAAGAATGGATGAAAGATAAACAGAAACTTTATATAAGTGAATATCCAAATAGTCAATAGAGTATTTAAAATGCACAACTTCATTATTAAGAAGGGAATTTCTTATCCAGACTATATTAAATATTAAATACTAAAATACTGATGTACATGTCAGAATGACAAAAATTTGAAAGAATAAAACCAAATGCTTACAATATAAATATACTAGAACTCTCATACATTTCTGACATAAATGGACACTTTGAAAAAATTGTAATTTTTAAAAACTGATAATCAATTTTTTACAACTGTTGGCATAGACATCTACAGTGTTGACTTCAACCTCCACTCCTGGCTTAATACTGATGGAGTTTTTTTTGTTTTTTGTTTATTTAAACCAATCTCAGAAGGACTGTGCAAGTCAAAGAGTCACTTGAGGATTCTCATGTGGAAGTGATCCCATGACTTGGAACCTACACCACAAGGCTTTTCTTGCAGCCCTTCTTAATCTTGATAGGCGTGCAAACAGATGCTTTCACTTTGAGATTCTTTTCTTTGTGCCTCTGATGAAGTGAGCACACACTTTTTCTCCAGCAATTTCACATTGCAGGTGGTGAGGGTAATTCTAGTTCTCCAAATTGCCACCTCAGGTTGTAGGGTGTCCTTCCAGTATTTTTAAATGCCATCGCTGTGCTGCAGCCTCCTGATTGATTTATTCCTGGGCAAGAGAGAACAGCAGTGAGTGTGCAGCATAAGCAAACTGAATGGTGTTCTGTAGCACCACACCCACATCACTCTCTAAAAACCAAACTAAAACAAAAAACAAAAGCTGCTCACACATTTTAAAAACTGTTTGGTATTCTTTACTGATCTTGAAAATAAGTGTATGCTACTACTTAGCCATTTTGACTCCTAGTGTATACCTAATGGTATGTAAGTGCAAAAAATATGCAAAAATTGTTTGTTACAGCATTATTTAATGTCTCCCCAAGCTTAAAATAAAGTGTTCATCAATGGTAAAATGAATAATATAATATCCATTGTGATCATATAGTAGGAAATTTGTGCAACAATGAAAATGAGCCAAGTTCCCAGGTAGTAATGTGGATAAATCTCACAAACAGATTATTTAGTGAAGGATATCTGGCACAAAACACAAACACTTTATCATTCCAAGCAAAATGTAATCTATGGTGTTAATTTGCCTATTTGGAAGAAAGAGGGTATAGTGCTTATGAAGAGGCATGTGATGCGGGGAGAAACGTGGGGTTGTGGATAATATTCTACAACTTCACCTGGATGATGGTTACAGGAGTGTGTTTGCTTCCTGACAAATTAAACTGAGCTGTTTACATGCAATATGTGTATTGTTTTTAGTATATCTGTTATATTTCCTTTTTTAAAGTAAAAAGAAAAAAAAAGGATTAACCACATGTTTTGTAGCTTTCTGACTCACTGAGAGTCATTCTTTCTTTAGTCTAGTATAAATAGAGGTTTCCCCTAAAGATATGTACATCTTAGTACCCAGAACCTGTGAATATGTTCTATGGCAAAATGTCTTTGCAGATGTCTTTAAGTAATTAAGATTCTCCTGGGTTATCCATGGGCCCAATGTAAATTCCAGGTCCTCATGAGAAGGAGACAGCAGGGTCAGAGTTAGTGAAGCAGCGTGGGAACAACTTGGCGCCATAGCTGGTGCTAAAGATGGCAGAGGTCATGAGTCTAGGAATGCAGGCAGTTTCTAGAAGTGGAAAAGACAAGAAAATGGATTTTCCCCTAATGAAACCAGAGGGAATGAAGTCCTGCCATACCTTGTTTTCAGTTAGATAAGACCTAATTTTGGACTTTAGCCTCCAGAACTGGAAGATAAATCTGTTGTTTCAAACCATGTTGGTGAGTTTGTTGCTACATGAAGAGGAAGCTATCAGTGAGCCACACATTGTAATTGTGGAAGTGTATGTCACATGATTACTCTATTTATGTGTATGGAATGAATGGTGACAGTCCCCAAATGACGGAATCCTAATTTTGACGAAGTGATGTTATACATCAGTGTCCCTCTGTGAGAATTCAGTGACGGTATCAGCTGCCACCACAAGGCAGTTGCCTTCCAGTCCCTGTCTTTCTCTGATCTTCAGACTTCGGAGGCCTGGAGTTGAAGTAGACAAAGCACAGTCTTTGTATTCATCAGACAAAGCAAACTGAGGACAAGGATGTGGATAAAGATGGCATGATTAGTGTTTCTCCATAGTCCATCTGAGGAATTCATTTGTCTGAAAGGTGAAAAGAACTTTTAAAAAAATATTTGGTTTTTAGTTTTTTAGGTGGACACAATATCTTTATTTTTTATTTTTATGTGGTGCTGAGAATCAAATCCAGTGCCTCACGCATGCTAGGCGAGCGCGCTACCACTTGAGCCACATCCCCAGCCCCTGAAAATAATTTTTTACAGAAATAGAGAATAATAGAATTGAAGTAATATTAGTCATTTGACATCTAAAATGGGTTTTGCTGTGTATCAACTTTAGGTTGCAGTTACAGAAATATAGCACATCCTGGTCAGGTGGAGAAAATCCTGGGTTTCTCTTTACAATAATTTCCTAAGTTTTTAAGTGGCATGGATGTTGAAATGAAATCCAACTGGCTGCCACTGGCCTAGCATGACAGGGTGACTTGAACCAAACATAGGTGGTACAGACTGCTGAACCAATGTGAGGGATGGAGAATGTAGGAGTAAAGCCAGAATTCTGGAGCCGGCAGAATCCTTGGAACAGTGAGATCAGCTGAGAGACATTGTGTCTGTTAAGAGCTACATCAGCTAGCCAATTCAGCAGTGATGTCTCGCAGAATATACACAAAGAGCTCTGTTCCAAGCTCCAGATGGTGACAATGCTATAAAATAAGCCAGCAGAAGACTAGGTCCTTTCTCAATGCCAGAAAAATGTTTACATAAGACACAGCCTTCCAGAAAACATTGAGAAAAGAAGCAGGAAAAAAAGTGAACTTTGCTTGATTAAGCACTGTTATCCAATAGAAACTAAAAACTTCTTATTTAAATAGTCAGGTTGGGTTAATTTTGAAGTTTGAAACTTATTCTTTTCCCTCATGCTACCAATGGAAAAGGACCTGTGAGATGTATCAGATTAGAGTCTGTAATAAAGAGAGTAAAATATTTATGTACATCATTTGAAGTGTAGTGTAAGCCTTCTGCAAATTTGTTGAGATTTCTCCTTGAATAAGTTTTGAGAAAGAAAAGAGTGGATCAAAGAACTGCCTATCATCTTTTCCTTTCTCTTCCTGTCTCCTCTCTTTTCTTTCCCTATTCCCTGATTTTTCATTGAGTGAGGGAATTTGAACTTGCATCCATAGCCCTCTTCTCTTTCTTTTAGAAGAAGTTATCCAGACAAGAAAATTTCCCATGAAGTGTGAAGTTACTGCAGGTTCATTAAAATCAAAGCCTTGTAGTACATACAGGACATACATGGAAACAAAATCTGGCCCTGGCCTGTACACAGGGAACAAAGGCAATAGGCATTTATATTAATTGTTGCTATGCATATTATCATTGAAGAAGAAGTTGGTGAAGTACTTTTGTTAATTTTCCTAGACACATGTCTGTTGACATCCCTGACCTTCAATCAATTCTCCTTTCAATTGTTTCCCAGTATTTGCAACTTAAATTGTAAGGTCACTACTCACATTTTATTGTGTCTGATGTATATTCTTTCAATCAGGTTTTGTACTTCTTTGGAAGAATATCTATGTCTAGTTCATTCTATAAAGTTCTATGTCCTTGAAATAGTCTCGATATGTCACCAACATTGAGTAAGATTCAGTGTCATATTCATGCTGTTCCAAAATGTATATTCAAAGATGCTAACAATTATAACACTATTTATAGTAGTGAAAAATTTTGAACTTCCCTAGCCTAGGATAGGACCCTGAATGATTACATTCAAAGGAATCTTATGTAGGTATTCAAATTAATTATTTAAATACACCAATATTTGCTGACATAAAAATATCCATAATATCTATGTGATAGGAGATTAAAGGAGTGTGTATACTATACATTCTCCTGTGTGCAAAACGATGCATGTTTTACTTTGTGTCCACATGCCTGGTGGCAGGAGTGGTTGTGAAAATATTCATGGAAGATGATATTTGTAATTATATTATTTTTCCAAATTTTGAAGTTTTGTCCAAAATTCATTATTTATTTAAAATACAGTTATGAAATTTTTATCAACTTTTGATTTTTTTCTCTAAACAAAATTATTTAGGGGTTCATTGCATAGTGGATCTCTTTTGGAGCAATGTCAAGGTTTCAGATACATTTGGCAATGTCTGGAAACATTTTTGGTGCCCTTTCTGCTGAGATAGGTAAAGGCATCCAGTGGTGAATCATAGAGTTGCAGCTAAGCATACTGTAAGACACTGCACATTCCCTCTCAACAAAGAGTTTTCTGACTCTAAATGTTAATATTGCTTAGTTGAGATACATTGGGAGTCTTTAACCTCATTAGGCACATTATCACCACTTGATGGTGGTGAAGTGCCTTCAAATTTCATGTATCTTCAACCACAAGTCAGATGATTGAAATGAGTATCAAGGCAGGAACGTATTGGGATAAACTTTGTAGATTTAACTTGGTGGATAGAAGGGAAGAATCTGTACTTGCACCCATGGGTGTCTCTCAATTCCATAGGATGATGAAACTTTAAATTTTCCAGGAAGAATTACAACCTGGAGTACAAAGGACCATGGTACCTTCCTTCTTTTGGTTCAGTATGTTTTCTCTATTTCACTCCAAGGAATGATTTTGCAAGACCTAGGGTTCTTTCCTTGACCCCCAATGTAAGGAAAATTAAAAGAGACACAGAGACAAGATGCAGAGGCAGGAAAGATGGCAGAATGGCAAGATGGCCAAGATACCAGCTTTATTTATATTAATATGTTACATTAGGTCACTGGTATCAGTAGTACATTATTCTTCATTGTGTCATTAGAAAGGTTACAGAGTTAGCAACATTATGCAGCTTATTCCTCAGTTACATAATATAGTTGCAATGTGCATTGTGAGGAGCTTTGTGTAGCTCTCAAGAAAATCCATTGTTTAAAGTTAACTGTTATGTGGGCAGGTTCAGGCTCAGCAGAGCTTGGTGAAACAGGAGCTGTGCGCCTGAAATCATGTTTGAGGCTGATAAGACTCTAACACAGAGCCTCCTCGTGCAGGGTATTGCTACAGCAGGTAGGCATTCTGTGTTTTTGCACAGAGGTTTTCCTAGCAGCCACACATTCTGTGTTTTTGCACAGATCCTTCCTACTCACTAAGCATGCCACAGTCATGAACCATCAGCGACCTCAATCCCAAACACAGAACCCTTACACCCCTCTCCAACTACCAATTCGAAGGCCAAATGGAAAAATATCTATTCTTCTTCTCCTCGTTAGTTTTCCTCTTTTTTAAAAAAAAAATTATCAGTTTTCTATTTATTAATTATTACTGACTAATGAGTGGCTCATCTAGCAACTGTCTCATGCTTCTCTTTGCTCTTCGCTTTCCTGTCTGCTAGTCTATTCTGAAAGGCCTTCATCCTCTCTGCTGCTCTCTTCATACTGGTTTTGGGAACAGAATATTATGTAGCACTTATTTTCTTTTTTTCAGTTTCTTTCTTATTCACAAACCCATTGTTCAAATCCATCTGCACTCAGCAATCTGTACCAAGGCCTTGAATAATGCCACAGTTTTGTTTTTCCAGAAGCAGATGTTGAAACAGCGTGGAAGATATTTCTTAGTGGTAAACACTTATGAAAGAAGGGGGAGTAATAGGACTTGGCAGTGGGAGAAATTGAACTGTGGTGCAGGCCTCAGGATGCTTCCAGGACAAGGCAGAAACTCTGGAGTGAGTGGAGCCCATCAGAGCATCCTGTGTCAGGCCAACATGGCAGGGCCTCTGTGTCTCACTCAATCATGGATGCAAGTTGCTCAGGAGAGCCTGACCCCAGGGGAAAGGCTCTCTTCAATTGAGGCAGATATGACAACTGATGAGTGGCTGCTTCCTTTACTCCCCTCATGTGGGCAGCAAACTCTTCCTTGAAGAAGGATCTGAGTGGTGCGCTTATGTTCCCCCACAGTGGAGATAATGGAAATTACAGGGTAAAGTAACAGATATACCTGATACTTTTCTTTGTTCAAAGGAGAAGAACCAAAGATATTTAACAATTAGGACTGTTGTTTCTAGGAGAACATGATCAGGTTCACATTTTTTCCCCAATTTATGTAAATCCCTTGCATTGCCTTAAAAATAATGACATTGGAGGTGATTGGCTATTGTCAAAAGAACCTTATAATGCTCTTACTCAGCCTTTCTTCCTTCTGTTCCTCATACATTTTTTCTTTATGGTTTTTATTATATTTTTTAATATTCTATTTAGATAAAATATAGAGAAAACAGTCAGACAAACATATTTATAAACATTACTTGGCTCAAAATATGAATGTTGGATCTGCATCTTCAGGAAGTTGCAACTGAGCCTTGAGTGGAGACCTCACTGCATTTCATTGCAGTAATAATAGTGGCACAATGACTTCTATTAACAAGATTTTGTTCCCTGGTACTACAACCAGCTAACACGGGAACATATACCAAGAGCCAGGCATACATATTATATCCAAGTCATCTTCACACCTTTATGAGATAGCAGAATTTTATAGAAGAAGCACATGAAGCAGACACATGCTGACTTATCCCAGGGCAGATAGCTAGCAAAGTGATGGGGTCTTTATTTACATACACATCTAAGCAGTCTTGATGCTAAGTTCCTGCTCTTAACTACAGTAGCAAGCTGGCATTCCCTAATAGTTAACACTTGACTTAAATCCACTAATTCCCTTCTTCATCTTGAAGACCACCTCTTCTTGTTTCCTCTCTCCATTATTCATTTTTTTACAGGAATAACTTCTAAAACAAATTGTGTGCATGCAAATTTATTTCTCAGGAATGAGAAACCTAAGATCTATCTAAGGCATGGGGAACCTGAGATCTATTTCACACTGACAAAAAACATTACAAAATTGACTTGGTTGCATTTGGTTAATTTGTGTTTCAAATACATATAGCTATTAATAAAGTACTGAAGAACTTTGATATTCTGAACTGCATTTTGAGTTATTAAGTATTAATTAGACATTTTATTTTATTTTTTGAGAGATCAAGTCTCTGACCTCTTCAGCACTAATTAGACATTTTAAAGACTATATTATCAAGTGTGACTTCCCAAGGAGGCCATGTTGAATACTATTGTTAATGAACTTCCAGTGAGACTACTTCATCTATTGGTGTGCTTCTAGTAAAATTTTATTCAAAAGCAAATGAAAAAGGAACCTGGGATAGACAGCATGACATAACAACTGACACTTACAGTGTACTTACTCCATGTGTAGCATTGTCCTCCATGCCTTGTAAGTAGCCATTCATTTATTAATGAGAATCCTATCATTGCAGTGTTAGGATGCCTGAAGACACAGGGGCTAAATTACAAGTCCAAGTTCACACAGATACCAATACTACAATGATAGCACTATTGGTTTTCTTCACAAACATATGATATAGTATAATACAAAACAATATAATGTAATTTAATACTCTTTATTGCCCTCAAAACTCATATACAACAATAATAAAGGTTTGAATAGCTTGTTTAGAATTTACTGAAAGTTGGAATTGAGAGAATAACCATTCTCTCAATGTAAGAATAAAGGTAAGAATAAAATGACAATTATGCATTTCACAAGTCTATCTTCAGTGTTCCAATGAAAGCACCCCCAAATTTAAAGGGGTCAATTTTTAGACATACCACACTCTGTAGATGTTATTGGGTTCATATTATCTGTCTCTAAGAAAAAGAGATCTCCTGAAAAAATCTTGAAGCAGTTTTCCATTGCATTTTATGTAAATCATTTTTTATTCAGTTTATTTTTAATTTTTATTGACAGATAATAAATGTACATAATATGGGGTACAATTTGATGCTTTTATACATGTATAGATTGAGGAATAAGCAAATTAGGCAAATTAACATATCCATAACTTTATATACTTATCTATTTTTGGGGGGTTATGACACTTAAAATTCACTGTTTGCAATTTTGTATTGTGTAATTCATTAAGCATGAGTATTTTAATTCTACTTTATTTTAAGATTACATTTAGAGAAAATAAAACACAGACTGAGAAAAGAGCACTACAAACACTTATGCAACTCATACTTGGATTAAAATAGAAAGCTTGGACTTGCTTCTTACAAGTGAGCAGACTATAAACACAACTACATTTCAGTAAGATAGCAATAGTACTAATGATAATAATTAGCATAATTACTAGTCACCTGGTTTTATAGATCACCAGAATTTTTCCTCTTCTTTAACTGAAACTTTCCCTTTTGACCAAACTTTCCCCTATCCCCCACCCTGTCCTCAGTCTCTGGTAACCTGCATTCTACTCTCTATTTCTATGAGTTCTCATTTTTGGAGTCCACGTATAAGTGAATAACTTACATCCTGTCATGAATTTCCATACTCTCCTAGGTCCATTACCATCCTTGCCCCATCTCTTTTGGCCTTGTGATTCCTTTACCACACTACTTGGCACCTTTGCCTTAATGACTGGAACATGTGAAATCTGCTCATGTGGTGACCCCCAATTCCTTTTTCTCTGCTCCTCACCTCAGTGACTGAGGCTCATTCTGCTACCCATGAGAACCCTACCCCTACTAACCTTGCACCTATTTTCAACTCTAATTTTGTGACCTTCAATCAGACTCAGTGCTCTACATCTTGATGTTCTCATCCCCACTGACTCCTCTCCCCTGCTCCACTGTTCCTGAGGTCTCTTCCCTAATGAGACCCAAAATACTAACACTATTATCTCTCCCATTTCTGGCACCAACTTGATTATTTTCCCTAATTGTATCACATAAAACACCATCTCTACATAGTCATCTTCTTTTATTCTAATTTACCTCTTCCCAATATTTTTGTCATCTCTCTAGTTTTTCCTTGGGATCTCATGTAAGAATCACACTGTTAACATACCTGAGGAATTTATTAGAGGCCTTTTTACTTTTGCAAAATATTTTTGGCTTTAAAATCAAAAGTAATATATGAGACTTATTAGTTGAAGGCTATATTGATTCATTCAATATAAAAAGCATTCAGCTAATACAAGGGGGAGAAATGAATTGCAGTAGAGGGGGTAGAGAGAGAAGAGGGGAGGGGAGGGGGGATAGTAGAGGATAGGAAAGGCAGCAGAATACAACAGACACTAGTATGGCAATATGTAAATCAATGGATGTGTAACTGATGTGATTCTGCAATCTGTATACAGGGTAAAAATGGGAGTTCATAACCCACTTGAATCAAAGTGTGAAATACGATATATCAAGAACTATGTAATGTTTTGAACAACCAACAATAAAAAAATAAATAAATAAAAGCATTCAGCTAATGTCAATTGAACATTAAGCCTTTTCAAAGCTTGCAGTGATGAGTGTGACAGGCACCATGCTGTGCAGAGCTTCTGTTCCTAATACTATATCAGGTTGATCTCATTAAGAGATCCTCCCAACTCTCACCAAGACTATTTTTTCAGAAAAAAAAAATCATTCTGTTCAAGAACACCTATATCCTTCACAATTTTTTCAAGATTTCTGATACCTTTAATCCCAGCAACCTGAGAGCCTGAGGCAGGAGGCTCACAGGTTGCATCTTAATGAAACTCCATCTCTGAAATTAAAAAAAAAATGCTGTAGTTGAGTAAAAATGTGCTTCCTGACATGTGTAATGCCAGGGTTTAATCCACAGCACTACAACAAAAACAAACAGAAAACTTATGGAGATTCTAGTCAGTAGATCTGAAACTGATAATATATTTGTAGTCCTGTGGTGGACAAAGGTGATGGAGTCAGCATTCCTATCTCCCATTTCTGAAGATCTATGTTGTTTAACTACTGTGGCTTTGGTTGTGTCTTTTCACTGTCCATAGATAGGTAGAGCCTGTATCAGTAAATGGAAACCAAAGGGTATCTTTATGTCTAAAATGAGGACATTTTCTTCTTGCATCAGCATTATTTTAAATCATCAGCTTTGAGAACTGAGCATAAGGTATAGGTTTGTAGAAGGGTGATTCCCCTAGCACGGAAAAAGTATAAGGAAGCAAAAATATGTCTCATTGTAGATAAGCACCCCTCTGCATTTTATACATGAAATATATATTTATATATGAAATATAAATTTTTATTAAAATGTGAAAACCCAATTAAGATTAATTAATAATTATGAAATTTTTATAAAAAGTAGATATTTTTTCATTTTTTTTTCTTTAGGGGATGGTGTTTATAATCATTAATGGCTTTATCTAATTTGACCTTGTCCACAGACTTGATGGGTAGGGTCCCATTTACATGGTTATCATTACACTTGTTTCAGGAGGTAATCTCAGGCAGATAACACCAGCTTTGAAGATCTAAACTTTGTGAATAACTCAACTTTTTGTAGCATGACAAAGAAGTTCCAAGAAACCAGAAAGAAGAGAATGTTGATTAAATGAAGCAATTATTTAACTTCTATTTCCTATGTTTGCCTGATAATGTTTCCTGACTTGATGAAGACTTTATCTTTGTCAAGTCTCTGGTTTGTTCTCTGCTAGAATAAAATATCCCTATAAAATACTATACATGGGAATCATGAAATTTCCATGAATCTTTTGTGTTTAAGGGTGAGTAAATTTTCTTCGTGGATTGAATGACTGAAAAAATTCAGTGAAATAGAGAAAGTTTATTTGTCGTTGCTTGTCAAGACTTGTATATTAGTTCAACAGCCATGCAGTTACTGTAGAGAAATTTGTAGTATCATGAAATGACTTAAAATTTTCCGTGTGAAGATGATTTTTTTCTGAGGTATTACATATTTTAAAATATGTAGAGCAATATTTCAAAATAGGAACTAGATATTTGGATTTTGTCATATGCTCCTATTTTAGTAATTTCTTTCTAATCCAAATGGAATTGAGGCAGAGAGATATCAAGTATTTTTCCAGGAATTCTTAAATTCTTGAATTGATATTTAATCACTTTTTAAACATTTCCTTTACAAAGTGGAATATGTAAAGCTCTAGTTGTAAGGAGGATATGTTTTGAGGTTGCTTGGTACTGTGACTTTGTACAGATGCTAAGGTATTTATGTGGTCATTGAAGATTATTTTTTCAAGTCATTAAGCACTTCCTGCTTTGTGATTTTGCCCCATTCATAGGGCATTTGACCTTTATCTATAAATTTTAGTTGATATTTTTCTTCCAATTTTGTTCTGAAGTGACAGACAAACCATTTCCAGTATGGCTGGGTGGATGAATCTGGGGTGATGCTCCATGTGGCATAATCCCCTCCTGCCTCCCGATAGTTCTTATATGGGATCATCCAATCATCTCTCAAAACAAGCAAATTATTACTTGCTACTAAACTAGTACAACAATCAATGACAAAGTGGTCTGTTCTATACCAATTGACTCCACGGACAGCCTGAGGACGATGAAATGGAACACTGTGGTCTCCTTCATGTTCAGGAATTGTGTTTGTACAAATTGCTTTACAGAAGGGACACTGTTTCCAACATCCACAGAGATGTTCAGAGAGGATTTTCTCGATTTCAGGAACCATTTCTTCTATAGGCATACTTGACAAGTTCTGTTCCACCTTCTTCATTGCAGGATCCAAACCTGCACTCATGGCTTCTTTGAGAAAATCCATATCTTTTATCTCTTGGTGCTCAATGTTTATCAAGTCTCTTCGTGGGAAAATCAAGTTGTTCCCCAGGTGATCACAGAACAAATCCAGCCACCCAGATGCAGTGCTGCTTCTGTCTTTAGCTACTGCTGTGGATTCATGAATGGCAGAGAGGATAGTATTCTTGATGTCATCAAGACTTGTTTTGAATAAAGTCTTTATTTTTTTATCTCTGTTGTCTGAACAGTACTTTTTGGTATAGTTCTCAATGTAACTCCTACAAAATGATTTTGGATTATAAATGTATTGCCAATAATTTTCAAAATTTTCTTCTTCTGCTAGAGAGATGAGAATGTGTTTCTCCAGGTTAGATCTGTTTCCATTGAATGCAGGGCAGGAGGCTCTTATCTCCCCAGCTATTCTAGGGACCATTTTCCCCTGGATGGTAGCAGAGACAGCAGGAGTGAGCTTTTGCCACAGAAAATCAACAAAACATGTGATGGAGGTTGCACCTTGGCAGGAGATCTTGAAACTCATGAAAAAATCATCTTTCTTTTGTTCTAGATATTTTACAGGATCATTTGCTCTCCTAAATGCCCTATGCCTTTCCTTAAAATGCTTTGTTGCCTTTTGAAATAAATATGAAGATAATTCAATGTTGTATTCGCTCGTAAATATGTATCTATTCTTAGTGTGTTCAGATTTCCCTTCCTCTTCTATTATTTTCAGGATTTGATGGAAGTCACTTTGATCATAATCACGTTGTTGATTCGTAATATTTTCAATATATTCATTAAATCTTGAAAAAATACGATCAGTAGTCATATCAATGGACACTTTATCACAGGCCTCTAAACTCTTTGTGAGAAAGAAATATTCCTTACACATCTTGACATGTTTTCCAAAATCTAGCTGAAAATTCTTTCCAATATTTCTCTTTAGTTTTTCTACTACGTTTTTCTCTTTTCTGAAATAATCCAAAAGGATGTTTTCAGCATGCACATCAATTTTAGGCTCTGTGGCTTGAGGGAGATTTGAGGATACTTCACAAACCCATTTTCCCCAAAGTTGACTGAATTTCTCATATAACTCTTCATCACTCAACTTTTTACCTTTTACTCTTAAAGCCAAGTTTTGGCTCTTCTTCAATAATTCATTTTCATATACAGTCTTTTTCTGTTCTAGTTGTTCTTGATTTTGTTTGAGATGAATAAGTTCATGGGCTTTTCTCTTGGTGTCTGAAATAAGTGACTCTTTAAGGATTAGTAGCTTATTTTCAAAATAGGCTTTCCATTGGACAAGTATCTCTCTCTCTGGGTCTTCAGTAAAATATTTTTCAAGTGCTTGCTTGATTGTTTCATATTTCTCTGTAACTGGACACTCAATTATGCTTGATGTGAGTGTCAGAATTTTTCTATTTTGAATCTGATTGTGAAGCTGGTTCTGCAAGTCCAACATATGGCTCCTGAGCTCCCAGGTCCAGTGGTTATACATGGTTTCCAGTTTGCTCATGGCCATGACCTCTCGGGTGTTTCTGAAACTGAAAATGAAGTTCTCACTTACCAGGGCTCTCCACAAATCTTGAACTCTGAATTTCACATCTGATATCTTCATGATGCTTCCCCTGGATTCCTGTTTGGCAGTTAAAAGAATTGTACTTTTCAGTTCCTGGACATTGTGGCTATAGCGAGGATTGGGAGGGGCCATGGGGGGATTGCCATCCCAGAGGTGAGCAAAGTAGTACACGTGAGTATTGACATCAAACTTGATGACATCACTGAAATGAGTGACATCTGAGCACTCTTCTTGTTTAGCAGCCAGTGCTGCCATTTCATCTAGCCTCTGCTCTAACCGCCTTCGTCCTTCTGTAGTTTGGTCTTTAGCTGTAACTTCTCCTACATTCTGATGGACAAATATGCACCTGGGGGAAATTTTCACTTGTTTCATCCTCAGAAAGGCTTGGACTACTATCTGTAGGATATCCTGCATTTCTGATGGATTCTCCCCAAATATATTGATCAGAGTCAAGTTTGCAAGCCCAATGACAAAGGTGGCTAACTCGTTGTCCCAGTTCTGGGATTTGTTGCTGAGTTCTGGGGCCCGAAGTCCTTCTGTGTCTACAACTAGCACAAAGTCAAAGCCAAGTTCCTCTGTGGATGTCTTGTCTACCTTTAGGAGCTGCATGTAGGCCCCCTTAGTACACCTGCCTGCACTTACACTGAACTGCAGCCCAAAAAGAGCATTCAGTAGGGTGGACTTCCCAGAGCTCTGCAGGCCAAGCACAGAGAGGACAAAGAGATGTTTGTCTCCAAGTTTCTCAGAGAGCTTGTCAAAAACAGCTGCCATCCATTTTAAGGGCACATAGGAAGCATCTCCATCCATCAGCTCTATGGGGACACCAGCTATCATCAGGTCTGCAGCAATTTGGGGAAGGAAGAGAAAAACTATATCATTTGTGGAGGAAGTTTCTTCCAGAGCTTCATAGATCTGGCCAACCTCTCTGAGAAACTGCTCAATTCCTAAGGTATAATCACTAATCTTCTTTTGGCAGAGCTCCAAAGAGTTGCTGCTTTGGGAGCTTTGCTTCTCTGTTTTCACAATTGACCACAAATGAATTAGTTTTTCATGTAGGTTCTCCAAATGCTCTGCAGTCAACCTATCTAAAAACACACTCATCCATTGCAAGAAGTAGAGTGTGGTGTGAGTTTCTGAATAGCAGTAGAGAATTTGAAGCACAGAGAACATTACATCATTGAGAGGAAAAGCTCTTTGCACCTGTTTTTGCCGAATTATTTGTTTATCTGACTCAAGCTCACTCTTGTGTTGTTCAATGCTTCGATTTCCCTTCTCTCTCAGATGATACAGTTCTTTGTCCTTCCTACACCAAAGTTGCCACAGTTGTCCCTGAAGCGGTAGGAAGGTTTCCTTCACCTTAGATAACTCTGTTCCTCTTAAAAGAGCCATTATAATCTGTGCCTTTTCTTTGCCCTCCTTACAATCTCTCTGGTCTTCATCAATAAGAAATCCTTGCTGGCGAGCAATTTGAGAACAGTCCTCTAGGCTGAGAGCTGTGTCAGTGAGCTCTAGCAAACGTCTGATGGTAGTTGTGAGCTCCTCTGTCAATTCTGCCTCATTTCTATTCCTCAGGCCAATTTTCACTCTTCTACCAGAACTACTGGGTTTGGATTTTTCTTTGTCATCTAGCAAACAGATCAATGATCTTGATGACTGACATAGGTCACGGACAATTTTTTGGTTTTGTTTGTTGTCATCAGAAGCTGACATGAGGACCACAATGAGAGAAGAGACCTCCTGCAGGAAAGTGAGCTGCCTTTTATGTTCCTTTGCATCTCCATGAAGATTCATGAAGGTCACACAGTTGTCAAACCTGTCCTCCACTTCCCCTCCAGGCCAAAACCAGCAGATTTCTACCACACCTCCCATCAAGAGGCAGTCCTTGCTGCTTTCTCTGCAGTGTCGGTGAAAAAAGACATTATGTTTACGTTCACTGAGAAGACAGTTCATGATCTGAGATTTGGAAGCAGACAGGCCATTGCCCACTCTAATGAAGGACACAATGGGGGTGGAGACACAACACATCTGCTGACACTTATGACTGTTCTTTCCATGTGGTGATTTCTTTTCTTGCTGCCAACTTCTCCTAACTTTTCTGAGAGACCAGAGAGAGAATTCAATTTGAGAAGTGCAAGGATTTGGCACCAGGAGAGGCAGGGCAAATTGACAAGTAGAAAGTTTGGTCAAAATATATTGTCTGGCAAAATCATCTGCACAGTGAAAAATGGTCATCTGGATATCCATGGGGTGAATGTGGGGCCTTGACTCAGTAGTCAAAGGATCAGTGAGAGTATCACTATCTTCAACAAAGTCTTCATATGGATCAAAACCCTCATATTCCTGATTGGAGGCACTTGGAGAAACCTTAGATTCTATATTTCCATAGTCTTTAAAGACAAGGTATCTCAGTCCATAATCCAGCAACATTAGCTTCTGAAGGAAATAGAAGGGAAGTTCCTTTTCAGAATTGGGCTGGGTGTTGTAAAGAGAAGTCTTGTAGATCAGATGAAATTTAGCTTTACTCATTTTTTTAGGGTAGTAATGTTGTAGGCCTAGACGCTGGAGTAAGTCTAGGAAGGCTTCATTTTCTATTACTTCATTTGTGTTATTTTCGTTAATATCTGGTTCACAGGGCCATTTCTTTTCATGGAAAAGATTTAGTAGCTCTCTTTCAACGTCATCCCTTTTCAAAGAAGAGATGGTGGCTTCATAATCTCCATCAATGAGTAATCTCAAGTTTCTTTCTATGTTTTCCCAATCATGATCTTCTTCAAATTTAGTGAGGACATGTACAACTTCTTTAGAAAATAATTGTCCCATGTGTTTTATTATAAATTCCATGCGTTTTGTCTTCTCTTCTATAGATAGAGCTCTTAATTCAGCTGTGGCTGTCAGACCTGTGAGCACCAGGAATGCATGGGCCCTATAGCTGGAAATAGTTTTGAGCTGCTGGTATTCATTAAAGGCAGTTTGTATTTCATCCAGTAGGAAGTTTAACTCACCAGGCCCCAGGAGAGGCTTAAAAATATTGCTTCCTACCTGATATCCTGCACCAGCTGCAATGGAAAGTAGCAAGAGCTGTGTATCTGGCTGCTCTGTTGCTTGCAAGTGGCTCAAGAAGCTGTTGAGAGCCAAGCAGACCTCATATGTGGCCTTTCTTTGAGCTTCTTCTACTTTTTCTTGGACCTTCACTTCCAAGAATTCTTCCTGTGTTTTTGTTAATTTTTTAATGAATTCAGAAAAATCGGAGATGTGGACTTGCTCTTGCTCTGAATCTGACTGTTTGATCCAGTGCATAATGGAGTGAGTCTGAGGAAAATTTTCCACCTTGTAGATGTGAGGATCTAGAAGGCTGCACAACTGAATTTTAATATAATTTGTTTTACAATTGGTAGACATTTTGCAAAAATTGATGGTATTGACTAGAAAAGTCTGCATATCCTTATCTATGAGGCATAGGTTAATCCAAGTGTCATTTCCTTTTGTTTTTTGACTCAGTGTTTGCTTAAAATTTATCAGCTTTTGAAGCTGTTCTTCAGGATCAGAGACTTCCCAGGACTTCACAGCATCTAAGAAAACTCTAACCTCTTGCCTAACACTCAGTATCTCCTCTCCTTCTTGGATCTGGGAAGCAAGGCCAGTCAGAGTAGTGTAGTTGTCTTTCAGACACTTAGCTACCTTACATGGATCTTTAAAATCACTTCTGTGGCTGGAGAGGATAATGTCCCAAATAGGCACCAGCTGGAATCCCCGGTCAATGACACACCAGGTTTGATTGCTGGCAACAAGGCCAGCTTTCCATTGAGCAAGGTCATCTGCTTCTGGTGGTCCACCTGTCTTGGACACAGATAATTGGAATTTGGTTTGGAGGTTTTGAAAAGTCTTGTTCTGAATAGCTGCTTTTGAATGTGAGTCTGACACATTCATACCTGCAGCAACATTCATTCCAAAACCATGGTAGCCACCACTTATGTAAAAATCCAGGGCCTCTATTGCCTGCTGCTTTATATTAACTAGGTGATAATTTTGGAACCCCTTTGAGACAGCCTTCCACCAGTAGATTCCTCCCAGGTGCAGAGGGCCTTGGTTAGCATGAGAGCCAAACCTGTGGAAGAATCTTTCACTCCACTGTTTCAGCATCTGGGATTCCTGAGGGTCTGTAGTCTGATCCAGAAGGTCTTCAAGGCATTTCAATTCCTGAAGAGCAGCATTGGACAACTGGAGTTGATCAATGGGGAAGTGGCAGGATGCCATGGGAGTGTATCTGAACTTGGTTGAGCAGAAATAAGAGCACTCAGAATTTGTTAGGTGGGTTTGCTTGGATTCTGAATGTTTGCCTTTATCCAGTTCAGTTTCTAAACTAAATCCCCAACCTCCACCCTTGGCTGAAGTAGTTAAACTGAAGCCTAAATTCTCCATAGACTGGGTGAACGTGACTTCTGCTTGAGAAGATGTGAATTCTTCAGATTTCATCAATGTGCCCTGCTGAGGGCCAAAGAGTGAGAACTCCTTGGGGACACTGAGTAGCTCCTCTCTCCTCTGTATCAGGTCCATGTGGTGGCAGGTTTTGTATATTCCCTGCAGGGCCAGCCCTCCAGATGCCCATCTTACCAGATCTCTATCTGGGAGGTTTGGCCTGTGGGATGGCGTCTGCTCCATGGGACTGAATTCTTTCTTTATGATTTCCATGACTTCCCTGAGGGGCTTTGGAGGCTTCAGCCTGTTCTCTTCAGGGATCTCCATGGCTTGCCTCAGCTCTGCTTCCTTTCTCTTCACTGCCTCTTCCTGTCTCTGTCTCCCTTCTGACAGCAAGTTCCTCAGCTCTTTCACTGCTTGTTCTGTCTGCTTCTCCTTTTTCCTCTCCACTGGTGACTCCTGTAACTCTGCAAGACTATTTGAGTGGGACAGGTCAAGCAGCTTCTCCAGGGCCCTTTTCTCCCATGGATATTTTACCTCATATTTCAGCTTCTGGAGGTCTTTTTCTTTTAAATAACTTAATGACTGGGCGCAGGTCACACCCAGGACTTCCTTCAGCTTGATCAACCAGTACTCAACTTCCAGTCCTACTTCTCTGAGCATCTCTGGAAGATCTTGCCTCCTTTTGCTTCTGAGGAGAGGCTCATCAGGGGTCTGCTTGCTTGTGTCCATGGCTGTGTGAAAAAAAGACATTCAGTTAGTGTTGACTGGGTTCTGAGATTAGGAAGTGTGAGCCACGTGATGAAAAGCATGAATGTATTAGGAAAGCTAGTCTCAAAGTTCTTCTCAACTCCTGCTTTACTTATATAAAATACATTTTTATCAAAACTTTTCTGTGCGTATTCTAGACATAATTGAGTGTACTGTCAAGATAGACTTTTTAAAAAATATGCTATGGTGAATTGCAAGTTAATAGCATGCTTTGGGCACTTACTACACAATCTCAATTGCATGGAAAGTATGAGGCTGAGGCACGGAGTTTTCCAATATCCATGTGTTTCTAAGCTCAATGCTTATTTTTTCAAATAGTGCAACACCACCATTTGGTTATCTTTCTTCTATATTTTTCCTTTTAATTGCTTCATTCCTATCACTGTCAGTTTGTCTTAAGTTATATAATGCTTATTTACTTTCTTGTAGTTTAAAATGAACTTCTAATCTAATTTACACCTCTAACTTCTATATTTCATCATCACCTAATTAATATTTCTATTCATTTTATGAATAATTATTTATATATAGATGTCATCCAATTCTATGAATATAGCTCACGATGATCTCCTCAATCCAGGATTTTGTTAGTGTTTTGCAGCCAATGACACTGCAGTGCATATGCTTAGATGGAAGATGGGAAAAAAAGCCAGAAATCTTTGAAATGAAGGAAACAATAAATCCAATAAAAAACTCAATAGAAAGAATCACCACCAGACTAGATCACTTGGAAGAAGGAGCATCAGATAATGGAGACAAAATATACAATCTGGAAAATAAAGTGATCACATAGTGAAGATAGTAAGAAACCATGATTAGAACATCCAAGAATTATGGGACAGCATCAAAAGACCAAATATAAGAGTTACTGGGATAGAGGAAGGCACAGAGTTTCAAACCAAAAAATGCACAATCTTTTTAATGAGATAATATCAGAAAATTTCTCAAGCATGAAGAATGGATTGTAAAACCAAATACAAGAGGCCTACAGGACACCAAATGTACAAAATTATAACAGATCTACACCAAAGCACATTATAATGAAAATGCCTAGCATACAGAATAAGGATAGATTCTTAAAAGCCATAGGAGAGAGGAATCAGATCACATATAAGGGGAGACCAATTTGGGTCTCAGCAGATTTTTCAACCCAGACCTTCAAAGCCCGAATATCCTGAAACAACATATACTAATATCTGAAAAAAAATGGATGCCAACCAAGAATCTTATTTCCAGCAAAATTAAGCTTTTGTTTTGATGGTGAAATAAAAACTTTCTATGATAAACAAAAGTTAAAAGAATTTACAACTAGAAAGCCTACACTACAGAACATTCTCAGCAAAATATTCCTCAAAGAGGAAATGGGAAACAATGATAAAAAATCAGCAGAGGGAGGGTTTACACTAAATAAAAATCTAATCAGAGGAGAAACCAAGTCACATTAAATACCAAAAGTAAACAAAAAATGGCTGGGAATACAAATCATGTCTCAATAATAACCCTGAATGTTAATGGCCTAAACTCACCAATCAAAATATATAGATTAGCAGATTGGATTAAAAAAAAAAAAAACAATATGCTGCCTCCAAGAGACTCATAGGAAAAGACAACCACAGACTGAAGGTGAAAGGTTGGGAAAAATCATACCACTCACATAAACTGCATAAACAAGCAGGGGTTTCTATCCTCGTATCAAATAAAGTAGTCTGAAAGCCAATAATAATCAAAAGGGATAAATATGGACATTACATACTGCTCAAGGGAACCATACACCAACAAGACAGAACAATCATAAATATATATGCCCCAAACAATGGTACAGCTATGTTCATCCAACAAATTCTACTCAAGTTCAAGAGTCAAATTGACCACAACACAATAATCTTGGGGAACTTTAACACACCTTTCTCACCACTGGAGATCTTCAAAACAAAAGTTGAATAAGAAACTATAGAACTCAATAATACAATCAATAACTTAGACTTAACTGTCATATATAGAATGTTTCAACCTGCATCACTTTCTTCTCAGCAGCACATGGATCCTTCTCTAAAATAGACCATATACTATGCCACAAAGCAACTCTTAGCAAAAACAAAAAGTAGAGATACTACCATGCATCTTTTAGATTATAATGGAATTAAACTGGAAATCAACAACAAAATAAAAAATAAAAATTTCTGCATTACATGGAGACTGAACAATATGCTACTAAATGAACAATGGGTTACAGAAGACATCAAGGAGGAGATTAAAAAATTCTTAGAGGTAAATGAGAACACAGACACAACATATCAAAATCTCTGGGACACTATACAAGCAGTACTAAGAGGAAAATTCATTGCATGGAGTTCATTCCTTAAAAGAAGAAAAAGTCAACAAATAAATGACCTCACACTACATCTCAAAGCCCTAGAAAAAGAAGAACAAAACAGCAGCAAAAGCAGTACAAGGCACAAATAATTAAAATTAGAGCTGAAATCAATAAAATCAAAACAAAAGAAACAATTGAAAAAATTGACAAAACAAAATGTTGGTTCTTTGAAAAAATAAATAAAATTGACAGATCCTTAGCCACACTAATGAAGAGTAGGGGAGAGAGAACTCAAATTACCAGCATATGTGATGAAAATGGCAATATCATAACAGACACAAACAGAAATACAGAGGAAAATTAGAAATTATTTTAAAACCTTATACTCCAATAAAATAGAAGACATTGAAGGAACCAACAAATTTCTTAAGTAATATGATCTGCCCAGATTGAGTCAGGAAGATATACACAACTTAAACAGACCAATAACAAGTGAGGAAATAGACAAAGCCATCAAAAGATTAATAACCAAGAAAAACCCAGCAGCAGAAAGATACACAGCTGAGTTCTACAAGATCTTTAAAGAAAAATTAATACTAATAAATAACAATTTATTTCAGGAAATATAAAAAGAGGGAGCACTTCCAAACTCTAAGAGGCCAATATCACCCTGATTCCAAAACCAGACAAAGACACTTCAAAGAAAGAAAACTTTAGACCAATATCTCTAATGAACAAAAATTCTCAGCAAAATTCTGGCAAATAGAATACAAAAACATATCAAAAAGATTGTGCACCATGATCAAGTGGGATTCATCTCAGGGATGCAAGGTTGGTTCAACATACGGAAATCAATAAATGTAATTCCTCACATCAGTAGACTTAAAGATAAGAATCATATGATCATCTCAATAGATGCAGGAAAAGCATTTGACAAAATACAGTATCCTTTCATGTTCAAAACACTAGAAAAACTAAGGATAACATGAACATATCCCAACATCATAAAGGCTATCTACTCTAAGCCTCAGACCAACATCATTCTAAATGGAGGAAAATTAAAAGCATTCCCTCTAAAAACTGGTACAAGACAGGGATGTCCTCTTTCACCACTTCTATTCAACATAGTTCTTGAAACACTGGCCAGAGCAGTTAGATAAAAGAAATTAAAGGGGTATGTATAGGAAAAGAAGAACTTAAATTAGCACTATTTGCTGATGATTTGATTCTATACCTAGAAGACCCAAAAAGCTCCACCAGAAAACTACTAGAACTAGTAAATGAATTCAGCAAAGTTGCAGGATATAAAATCAACATCCATAAATCAAAGGCATGTCTGTATATCAGTGAAAAACCCTCTGAGAAGGAAATGAGGAAAACTACCCCATTCACAATAACCTAAAAAAAAAAAGATACTTGGGAATCAACAAAAGAGGTGAAAGATCTATACAATGAAAACCACAGAACTCTAAAGAAAGAAATCAAAGAAGACATTAGAAGATGGAAAGATCTAACTTGCTCTTGGATAGGCAGAATTAATGTTATCAAAATGACCTTACTATCAAAAGCACTATACAGATATAGTGCAATTCCTGTTAAAATACCAATGACATTCCTCATAGAAATAGAAAAATCAATCATGAAATTCATCTGGAAAAAATAAGAGACCTAGAATAACTAAAGCAATCCAGAGCAGGAAGAGTGAAGCAGGTGGCATCACATACCAGATCTTAAAGTATACCACAGAGAAATAGTAACAAAAACAGCATGGTATTAGCACCAAAACAGACTGGTAGATCAATGGTGTAGAATAGAGGACACAGACACTAACCACAAAATTACAATTATCTGATACTAGACAAAGGTGCCAAAAACATGCACTGGAGAGACGATAGCACCTTTAACAAATGGTGCTGGGAAAACTGGAAATCCATATGCAACAAAATGAAATTAAATCCCCATCTCTCACCATGCACAATACTCAACTCAGTGGATCAAGGGTCTAGGAATTAAACCAGAGACTGCATCTAACAGAAGAAAAAGTAGGCCCTAATCTTCATCATGAGGGATTAGGCCCCAACTTCCTTTTTTTAAAATTTTCAACATTGTTTTATTTATTTTATTTATTTTTAATTTTTTTATTATTAGTTGTTCAAAACTTGACAAAGCTCTTGACATATCATATTTCACACATTTGATTCAAGGGGATTATGAACTCCCATTTTTATCCCATATGCATATTGCAGATTCACATCGGTTACACATCCACATTTTTACCTACTGCCATACTAGTGTATGTTGTATTCTGCTGCCTTTCCTATCCTCTACTATCCCCCCTCCCCTCCCCTTCCCTCCCCTCCCCTCCCATCTCCTCTCCCTACCCCATCTACTGTAATTCATTTCTCTCTCTTGTTTTTTTCCCCTCACTTCCTCTTATATGTAATTTTGTATAACAATGAGGGTCTCCTTCCTTTACCATGCAATTTCCCTTCTCTCTCTCTTTCCCTCCCACCTCTCATCCCTGTTTAGTGGTGATCTTCTTCTCATGCTCTTCCTCCCTATTCTGTTCTTAGTTGCTCTCCTTATATCAAAGATGACATTTGGCATTTGTTTTTTAAGGATTGGCTAGCTTCACTTAGCATAATCTGC